TACGCGATAATTAACGAGGAAAATTTTGATTAAAAGGGAGTCGGTCGGAATTGATCGGAAGAGTGTACACAGATATTCCCTGTCTTATCGAATCTATTAACTTGATCGTGTGATCAGTGTACCTGTTGGGTCCTCCCTGGCCAGTGGCTGGATCTGGGGAACAGGTTGACGTGCATGTCTTCGGCCACTAATTTCATAGGAGGCTTTAACGACCGGTTGGTGATGATGAGTGGTGGTGATGGTGGTGATGATTGGTTGGTTGTTATGTTGATGGTGGTGTTGATGATGTTGATGATGACGATTATGATGATGTACTTAATCTTTTTTTTTTTTTTCATGGCGGTGCTCCATCGATATATAATATGTGGTGGTTGTTGTTGTAAATAATTGTTAAGAAGGCGGGGGGGTGACAGTGACGAAGGATCGAATGCGGGCGTGAATTCCCCCCCCATTTAGGAATTGCTAAACGTTTTATCACCTACACATCCAAAGCAGCTCATTCCACGCATTCCAATCGCAGCACTTTTTTTTTTTTTTTTTTTTTACTCTTTCTTTTATATACGATATATATATAAATATATATTTATATATATTTATATATATTTCTTTTTTCTCCACGATTTATCATCGCATTAGTTTACTTCTTTGTTTCTTTCTTCTTTTTTTTTTCTATTTCTCTGTACTTTCCCCGATCAATTTTTTTTTTTTTTTTTTTGCCAAAGTCTTGGTCGTCGACGTCTCGTACAGTCGTCGTTCGATCCGCAAAGGGTGCAAAGAGAAAGACAGAAGAAGAGAAAAGGCAGACAGAAAGAAAGACAGAAAGAGGGTAGGGAGAAAGAGAACGATCGTGGGACAAGGATCAGAGAGATTCTATGCGTTTGAATATCCCGTTCTTTTTTTTTTTTTTTTTTTTTTTTTTTTCTAGGAGAGATCATTTCCTTGCTGCATGCTTTGTCAAGGATTTCAGCCACGGCTAACATACTTCATTGGCTCACCGACACCTCTCCGTCGACTTGGTAAACAGCTATTCTCTTCTTCAACGACTTATCGTCCAACATTCCGTTCCCTTATTAAATATTTCATAAAGTTCCACAAAGGAAATTAAATCGAAAAACTAAGAAAAGCCTATCTATTTATTACTCGTCGCAACTGAGAAAGAAGCATGCGTGTCCAAAATAAAATCTCCTCCAGCATATATATATATCTCTGATACAATTTCTTTTTTTTTTTCATCTCCTGGAAATTTCCTCGGTCAATCGTGTTCCCGAGTCGAAATCTCAAATCGAAATAATCAACGCCGATCAAACGCGGATGCCGTTGTTTCCATCGTTTCGAAAATAAACCATATGGATGAAATCGATCGATATCAGTGAACGATATCGCCCAACAAAATCCACGAACGAACGAAACCAAGCTGAAAATAAAACCAACGGAACCTACGGAACCTAGGAACGCTAAACATTCGTCCATTTCCGTTTTTTCCGATCTTACTGCTCTACCCATTGCTGTATATAATGCGACGCCATGTTGAAAATTCTGTATCGAATATATATATCATATATATCGAAATTTCAAAGAACGAGTTCAAAACCGTCCTCTTTCTTCTACGTTTCTGCGTTTTCCCTCCGGGGGATGAAGTATGTCAGTCATGAACGAGTGGGGATCGATGGGATCGTTGTTCGAAAGGGTGAATAATACGTATAATATATGTATATATAAATATACATATAAATCAGGCCCAGGTGATAAAAAGGTGTGCTACTAAATCGGCGGTAAACGATAAGAGAAACGTGGTCGGTGACACGAGGTCGACAGGCCTTGGTGCTGGGTGCATACGTTCATTTTCGTGACGTCTCTCGCTCGATATTCGACCCCGGATCGGTCGATGGAGGGGTGTAACCGCGCATTGGGGTGCAAGAAAAAAAGAGAGAAAGAAAGAATAAAAGAAATTGGTGGTGATGATAAACACGATTGGATAAATGGTACTTCTTTTTTTTCTTTTTTCTTTTTTCTTTTCTTTTTTTTTTTTTATTTTTCGATGCTCTGTCCATCGTATGATCACTCCTCCTCGGGAATGAGTTAAACGAGTTCTCTGTCCAACTTTCGTGCGAATTCCCCCTCTCGTTAAATCTGTAAATTTTGCCACTCAAGCCACGTAGACTTCACCTAATTCCTAAGATCTAAACGCAGGCGCATACACGAAGATGCAGGGGAAAGATTCGGAAAGTGGTGAATCGGCGGATGCGACGTCGCCGTGGATTCTCAAGCATTATTTATTCTCTTTTCTCTCCCCGATTCCTTTTCCTTTCAATTCAAGAGATGCAAGATATTTTTCCCTTCCCTTTTATTGCGCCCAGTTGCACGCGTGCTTGAACTACTTCTCGCGCTTGAATTTGTGACGCCCTCTTCGTTAATTGTCAGTCTCTCGAGAAACTGTTCTTCTACCGTTGAGTGAATATTAAACAGGATTTATTTATGCTAACCCTTTCGTTCTTCCCATTCGTTTCGCACAGATTTCTCCCTCGAATCATCGGATTTTAATTTCAATTCGAAGCTATTGCTTCGAAAGTTTCGAAAAATCTTGGAGAAATTCCTTTTTCTCTCTCCACGGCGACATTGCATCCGATGATCAAGCTACAGATTGGGACGAGAGATAGAGCTAGGGAACGTGAACGATATTTCGGAAAGAACGGCTACGATTCTTTTCTAACGGATGAATTTACGGACGAGGTATGCGAGATAACATGGCGGCGGCGGCGGCGGTGCTTGTGGAATAGTGATGACACAAATATTTGCTATGGTGACTGGTGGTTGCGAAACAGCAACGATATATATATATATATATATATATTTATATATAGGATGCTACTAGAATAAGCGCTACTCTCAATATCGGCGAGCGAAACGTCCAAAAGTTCTCATTTAAAATTCTGCTCTTATAAATTAAAAAGTAATTAAAAATAATAATTAAGAAAAAGAAGAGAGAGAGAGAGAAAACTTTCGCCGAATCAATTTCTCATATATTCTTGAGAAATTATGATAATAAACGAGAGGATTGAAATTTTTTCCTCGAACAATCAAATTATTCGCGAGAAATGAAAAAGAATTTCCTTTCTTTATTTTCTCGATTCGAATCGATAAGCAGGGCAGACGAGTGTAGCAGGACAGACAGACACACAGTCTTCGCTTCTTTTCATGCATTTTCTCGCGATAACAAGACGCATCAAGCGGACCCAGGAGACAATAAAAATTCACGAGAGAGTGAAACGTCTTGAAAACACGAAGCTTTCGTCCCCCTCCCCCCATTTTGCCGCTGAATTAATCCGAGCTTTTGGACGTTTCGCTAGATAGATAGATAGACAGATATAGACCGGAATAGAAGGACACGCGCGTCCGCAAGCGCGCAGGTGCCGTGAAAGCGTGAAAGTGGAAGTAAACGTGTCCGTTTTTCGTGTTGAAAAATACGCGTGATTAAAAATATTTGACCGTAAATAATATTCGTGTATATATACATATGTATCATATTCTGGAACGTGTACTCTGTTCGTGTTTGAACGTGACTGTTTCTCGAAAAAGCGAGCCGAAAAAAAGGAGGGGAGGGGTTGAGGGGTTGTACTAATGTATCGATTATCTCGACCGAGCTGTTCTTTTTTTTTTTTCTTTTTTTACTATTTTTTTTTTCTTTTTTTTTTTACTATTAAAAAATGACCGAAAGTGACGACAATACAGGTTTCTTCTGACGAGGATACGCGTGTTTCTTGATCGCAACTTGGTCTCAGTTTGCTTCAATTACCACATACTTGATTCGTCTGCGCTTTTTTCGGTTCTTTTTTTTTTTTTTTTTTTACTTTCGTGCGAAGGTCGGTGCGTAATCGAGGCAGGATTATACATATGCGGGATACCGGATCGCATTTTCGTGGCCGTAATACAACAATCAGCGGAAGAGATCAGTTAGAGAAATTCGCGTCGCGAGTCGTGAGAAATCTAATTACTTTTGCCTTCTTTCAATTCACCTTGCACTTCGAGATACGATTGGCGATCGATCCGATAATAACCGTGTTCCAAACGAGTTCGAAAGTATTTGGTGTTTTAGTAGTATTTGGTGATTCCAACCGATCTCGCACGAATATTTCCGACTCGATCCGTAGCTTTGGTTTTACTTATCCAACAGATCGTAATAACAAGATTCGTCTACGGATGAGATTCCATAGATACATTCATTCATTTCAGGAAGGAACAATCGCGAAAATGCTACGTCTCGTCTAAATATGCTCGGGTGTGCTCAGTCTCGGCTACACAGTGAAGGGGAGGGGGAAAGGGTTTGCGTTTCCAGCGTTAATTTTTCTCCCCTGTTCTTCTTCGAAAATCGTTCGTTCGTTTTCCCTTTCCGTCATTGGATGACGGAAATGGCACGGTAATGGCACGGTGAATTATTATATGCGTAAGTGGAGGGGGAAAGGGTGGTGTCGTGTGTCGAAGCGTGAAATGACACGAAGGGGAAGGGAGGGCGGGGGAGGCAAGAGAACAGAAAGCCACTGGCAGCGCAATAATAAAAATACTCTACTTGCAAGCAAAAAGATACTACTACGATAGATAGATCAACAACGGTGGGCAGCGACTTCAAGAAAGAGATAACAAAATGAGAGAAGAGAAGAGAAATGGAGGGAAAAAAAAAAAAATAGAATGAGAAAGAGAGAAAATATAACAATGTCGATCGCGTAATTAGTAATATATATATATATAAAAGTGTGCACGCGCATCCCATGAAAAATCGCGAGATGCGTGTGTACCAAAATGGTATCGCGATATACGATATACGAATTCATGATATGTACATAATTAACGTTGGATGAACGTGGCAATTAAAAAAAAAAAAAAAAAAGAAAAAAAATATCGTCGATCAGAGTGGTAGTGATACATATATATGTAGAGAGAGAATAATAATTATATATATATATGTATAATGAATATGCCGACATGGGTAGAAATAGCTTAAGGACCTGCTTCTGGGCCATCGACTGCATCTGCTGGAACATGATCCTTTCCTCCTCTTTTCCTGGAACAGCAGAAAGCAACGAGAAGCTCTTGGGATGTCTGCTCGGAATCCAGATTTTCGGACGGTAGCTGTCTGCGTTTTACACGATTTAACATCAATTTTTAAATATTTCTTGGCATTGGTTCTCTTCGAGATTTTTATTTTTTTTTTTTATATGGGAAAGGGAGCGTGATTTTCTTTTTGTTTTTTTTTCTTTTTTTTCCCTCTCTCATGAAAATGTCACAAGATGAAACACACTTCTTCCGTGGTTGCGCAACATTTTTCGTAATTTTTAATAACAACAATAACGAATTAATTTAATAACACGGTTACATTATCGGTTCACGTTTAAGCACGAAGAGCGTTATCCCAAAATATATTTTCCTCCGTCTCTCATCGTTTTAAAAATTAAACGATCGTGCTCAAAGTCCTCCAAAGAAACGAAACCGAAACGGACATTACACGCTACATTAAAGTATCTAAGTATTCTAAGTTTCTCGAAAGCCCGAAGATGAAACTCGGTCGACCAAGCCTTCCAGTATCTCGGTCACAGCGAAAGTCAGCGATATTATTTTCGTGCGTCCAGCGCGAAACGTTGTTACGCAAATAGATGGATTCTCTCGCCTAGCCTCTCTCTTCACCATTTGCATCTCCCAATGTTTACGCCACGCGATCGACGCGGTTGCGACAAACCTTTTTCCACCCCGATTATTAAATTACGGGCGAAAATTAGATAGATAGAAACGTGACTGTATGCGCGCGGACAAAACGTGCGTCTGGAATCTATCGAATCCATCCCTTTTTCCTGTTCTACTCTGTGCACCCTCTTTACGATCATCGCGCGTCTCGCGGTCGTTTATATTATTTTATATTATTTTCCCCGGAATTGGAGAACGCAACGAGCGCATGCTCACTTCAAATCGCGCGATCATTCTCGTGTTTTTATTTTTATACACGAAGCGAGTCTTCGTGGAATATCGTTTGATCTTTTAATTATTCTTTTTTTTTCAAAGAAATGAGGAATATCGTTTGATCTTTTAATTATTCTTTTTTTTTCAAAGAAATGAGGAATATCGTTTTGCCCCCTCCCCCCTTTTTTTCTAAGAATATTTGTCATTATTTCTCTAAAGAGTCACGCGATGCTGCTAATCGAAACGAAGCGAATCTTCGCATCGCTAGAATGTCGTACGTGATGCACGAGGATAATAAAAGTCTCTGCAGAATGATCGTACGTGTAATCTTGGCTAAAAGATGAAACACATTTAAGAAAGGACATACCGAAACGATCTCAAACAAAACTGAAGTGAATTCGCGCGTGGAGAAGATGTTCGTTAAATCAATCCGTCTCTTCCTTTATTCTATAATTAAAATTATTGGATCAAGTTTTAACGATTTAAGGTGAGACAGAGAATTTTACTTGTTTTACATCATCTTTTCACTTCAGTCTTGCCTCGGTCTGAAACTACCTGGAATGCCATTGTTGCACGAATGAGATGTTAATTAGTAAAAATGGCGGTGTTCGTTTAGGAAACTAGAATTTGAATGGAATGCCTCACCCATCCCTTTGTTTTGGAGCATCTCGAGCAGCTTCTTGATGCTTTCATCCCTAGCCTGCAGTGTCTGCTTCTGTGTCTCTATTCTCAATTCCAGCTCCTGTAAGTGGAAAGAAAGAGGAAAACGTTGGAATTGCATTTTAGATGGGCGCGATGAGAGAGCAAATTTCAACTCGGTCGGTAAATAATCGAGAAAAATCCAACCTCGTTCGAATGAGAGAATTCGTTCCTCTCATCTCACGATTTTCCACGAATCCGATGAAAAATCAAGTCAAGAAAAAAGAAAAAAACCAGGTCGTTCCATCCGTTTAACACGAGACCTTTAACATTTTAAAATATCCACTTCTCGTCTTTAATGGGGAAGAATTAACGCATTGACCGATTTTAAATTTCTACGATCGAGGACTTTTTTTTTTCTTTTTTTTTTAAGCACGGTTCATTAATTTTCGTCCACGATGTTTCTGAATTCGAGGATTGTTCCACGTATCGAAATCGAAGGATGAAAAGTTCGAAGCGGGGAAAGTTCGGTTGTTTCATAAAATGCTCGATTTGCGTTACGTCGTTGAAGAAGATAGAGGCGGCGCTTGACGCCCGTATAACGAATTTAGACCGCGTTCCTTTCACGACTCGGAACTCGATTAGTCTCGAGAATTAGACACCTATTGGAGTCTGCTTCTACCTTCGTTCCTTACGTACTCCTGCTTTTCTCGCGAAAACATTTCCGCGTTCCGATTTTTTCTTCACATTTTCTTTATTCTTGCTTCTATTCCAACCTCAACGAACTTATTATTATTCGATTCCAAGAAGTTTAATTCACGCGGTAATTTGAATATATAGAAATTATTATTCGCGAAAAATGGCGAGAATAAAAGATATCGATGAAAGAACGAGAAACGAACAATACCAATGGTTTGTTTTTCTCGAGGTTCGAGAAACAATCAAACCTTCGGGCAGGCATGATTATTTCTCTATTTTTTCGACGAAACCAAAAACCAGCTGCCGGAGGCTGAATGAATTTTTCGCCTATTTCCCAAAGCATGGCGGCCGAAAATAAACGCGGCCGGCTCAATGTTAAACGTTCTAAGTTCAATAAACGAAGGCTTTCCGCGCGGTTTACGCTCGAAATATCCCAACGAATCCACTACGACGAGTTCTCCGCGGGCAAAGATTCTCCTCCTTCCAATTTTACGCGCCTCACTCGAATCGAATTGAATTTGCCAATCGCCTCCATCTCCACCATTTGTCTCCCAATCTTTTCTCCCCCTTTCCTCTTCCAAATCCATCGAAAGAATCGGTGTTTACGGTGGAGACGACATCCGAAAGATCGGCGGGAGTGGAAACTCGATGGAAGGTGGTCTCGACGACTCGGGGATCGAGAAACGAGATCGATTGGTATCGATACGGCGATATTCGATATTAAAGGATGTGGGGACATGCAGCCAGAAAGTGGCTGCATAATTTGGCCAGTGGCCAAAGGCGACCAGTTGCTTCCAGTGCGTTGCACGTTTGACCTGTCTGTGCGCGACCATTTCGCCTGGCTGACCACCACGCTAACTCATTTTCCCAGAATTTTCAACGACGACTCGTTGCTGCCGATTCTTCCAACTTCTTGAACGACTCTTTTTCTTTCCAACTTTTCTTCCAATCGTAAAGAATTCGTAATATCTTTAATATCCATCCTTTTCAGAGAACTTTTCAAACGGGAAAATTTTCAATTTACATCTAATTTATCGCGAAAACGATTGCTATAGAATTTCTTATAGAACTTTTTTTTTTTCCCAATTCGTTCGAGCGTTTCAATCGTTATCGTCCCACTTAGAGCAGGATCAAAAGCGTAATTTTATCGTGGGAGGAGGTGATCGCGAGTTTAATCGGCGTTTCCACAGGAAACGAGCGATTTAACGGTGGACAGGGTTCGTCTAATCTGTGAACGGGTGCGGTTTGAAGGAGGGCACCCAAGCGTCACACGGACAACCGAAATAGACAAGAGGTTTGGGTGTTGTTCGAGGTAAACGACCGATATTGTCTTGCCAACGGTTCTCGATGCTTCCGGAAATCTTGGCAACGGCGGCTATCAGCTTCCCGCAATAACTCCGTTAAGTCTGCCGGCCAGTGGCGCCGAAAGCGATCCAACGGTTTCTCCGAAACCGGCCGCTGGATCAATAAACTCCACGGTGGAACACACGGGTCTCGTGTTGCGCCCTGGTTAAATTAGATCGCACGGAGATTAACGAGATAGTTCCCCGAGCTTTTCGAGAATTTACATTTCGACATCCTGCACGCCTCCTCGCGAAGAATAAAACTTTCCAAAATCGATTCCATCTTTATTTATTTCTTCTATTTGATGTTTTCAATAAAAGAGAGGAAAAGATAGCAAAGATATTATAATACTTTTGAATTTTCATTTTGAAAATTCATTTTTTCGGTACAGTTTTGTTAAAGATGACTCGTAGTTCCTAGACAATGGATGACGATGAACGAACAAAGGCCTCGATCGAAAATAGACTATTCGATTACAATGGTAAGCTGGGTTATAGCTTAGGGGGGTTATTTGCTCAAAGAAGATTTTTTCTTTCATTCAACGAATTCTCTTCGACCGACAATTTCGACTCGATATCGGGTATAAAGTTCCATCGTGGACGAGAGGATTTCGAAGATACTAAAAGAAAAAAAGGAGAAGAAAAGGTTATTCGGTTTCGCGGGATGTGTATGGTTAATCGAGGGGCGGAAACGGAAGGAACGGGGTCGTAGAGGGGAGCGAAAAAGATGGCCGAAGGTTTCGCGATCCGCCTTTGCTCCGCCGTTCTCGCGCTTTCTATCCCCCATTATTCGCGATCATAATGATCTGTGACGGTGGACGCCATTCTTCCGGCGAATTCCAATCTGTGACAGACTCGTGAATCGATGTTCCCTATTCTATAGTCGAAGAAAAGTTCAGGGTTACGTTTCCCGGATCGTGGAGACGGCCGAGTTAAAAATAGATCTGGTATATTTCATTCTTTTCTTTTTCTTTTTCTTCTTCTTCTTTTTTTTTTTTTTTTTTTTTTATTACGTCGCGTCGCGATAAGCGAGGCAACTGGAGCGAGAAGGATTGATAACGTTCCCCCCTCTTCGGTGGAATGCAAAAGATTCGAGTTCGAAAGAATCGTGTTACTGCCGTTAGTTTATCTTCCTTCTCTCTCCATTCTGGAAAAGGAAAGAGAAAAACTCACCCTAATCGTGTCGCGAAGTATGGCGATCTCTCGCGTCAGATGCTCGTTCTCGTTGTACAAAACTTCCATTTGTTGCTGCATCTCGACGCTCGGCCCCCTCATCCGCATCCTCAGCTCCTCCTCCAGTTGGCGAACCATCATACTTTGTTTCTGCAACAGAAGAAACAAAATGAAAATTTTTTTAACAATGTGGTGGACACGTGTTGGGCCATAAAAATCGTGCCGTTTGATAAAAATTGGTTTAATAAGAAGGCTCGTTGGCTCGTTCGCGCTCTTCAAGATTTTCGCAATTGAAACGAAACGTTGGAAAACAAGGAAAGTACTCGTTTCTCCGTCGTTGTTTTCTTATTGTTTTATCGCGATCGGTTGGGAAAAGTTGGTCGTTTTCGAGAGACTTGTTGTTTGCTATATATATATGCACGAGGTTAATTGCACATTCGAGTTACGTGAAACTACTTGGAGCATGAAACTGATAAGCGGATCGATAGAAACTTGTCACGAGGGAAAGCCTCGTTAACCCTTTTGAGAAAAAAGGTTTAATTATTTCTGTTTAAATAAACGCTCGATCTCTCCTCTCTCTCTCTCTCTCTCTCTCTCTTCATAAATTAATGCAAAAACTGAAACAACAAAATGAAGGATCGCAAAACTTTAACGAATATAATCTTTTTTTTCGCTATCAAAAAAACAAAGTCAAGATTGTTAAATTGTCAAAAATCTCGAGTGTTCTCCGATTTCTCCATTTCATAGATAGATATTCACGATGTTGGAAAGATCTGATGATCTGAGAAACGCGATTAACATAAATTCTCTCTCGTGCGTTCTAAAGAATGACGAGATGGAAGTAAAACGGGTGGAAGATCGGGGCCGATTACAAGAATTGAAAGAGGGATCGGTTGATGACTGGTTTTTTTCACGGACAAAGTCAATATTTCTGGCGGAAGTTGGCTCCCCATGCACGTACTCTTTGGACCCGCGACTCGAGAAAGCTTTTTCTCGCCTTTCCAATCTTCTTTATACTTTTTTTTCGCCATTTCCCCCTTCCTGCTTCCTTTCTCGCCCCCCTTCCTCTCCCCCTTGGATCTTTAACTGAATCACTTTGACCTCTTTTCACTCGTTCTTCTTCTTCTTTTTTTTTTTATTTATTTATGCAACTCCTTTCTCAACGTACGTATGTACATTTCTCTTTAACGGTTTTTTAATTTTAACAATTTTTTCCTCCTCCCAAGCTTAAGATTCTTCTTAAAGCGCTCCGAGTAGTATCTTCCTTCATAAGCTTCTTATAAAAAAGTTTTTCCATCCCACTTTCAAGCTTTGGGTTTCAAGATTTTCCTCGATCGGTTTGTTTCCCTTCCCAACTTTCGATATTTCTATTATCTCCCCCTTTCTCTCTCTCTCTCTCTTCGTTATTCTTTATTTCTTATCCCTTCTCTATCCCGTTTTTCGGCGCCTCTCTCTTCTGAATTTCCCACTCAACCCTGCTTCCATGGATATTGTTCCAAGCTCGTTAGACATCGTTAATGACGACAACGCGACGCCATTCGGACAAAGGAGACACAAAAAAAAAAAAAAAAAAAAAAGAAAAAACGCTCTGGCAACCCGGATGATTATAGAGAGGCATGTTTCGACGTTGCACTCTTCATAAGGCGAGCCTATTTTCGTTTCGCCCGAATAAAATCTTTTCTTCCATCGAGATTCTTGCACAACTCAACTCTCGACAAATATATGCGCCATTTTAACAAAATTTTTCAATTTCCAAGTCAGATAACAATTATAAATAAACGTATCATTTCTTTCGACGATCGCTTCAGTCGTAGAATCAACTATCAGAATTCGCGAGGCGGCCGATGAAAAAATCGCACGCTCAGCTTTTTTAATTTTTAATTGTTCACTTTTCATCGTATATCGTGGACAAAGTTTGGAGTGTGCCAAAGGGCGCGCGATGACGACCGGAAGCGGTGCAACCGTTCGATACGTGCCACGATCGACCTGATTTTCGCTTACACGGGGGCGAGGGACGCGGAGGAGGAACTCAACTCCCACCAGCCCGTGACGTCAGTCACCCCCATAACGAAATCAGTCCGCCAAGCCATGGCCGAATTCCCCTTTTCACTCCTACTACCCCAGTTACCTGCCCCGGATTTCTCTATCGTCCGTCCACCACCCTCCCCCAATTTTCCAATTTACAATATCCCAACTAATAATAATTTGAATAACCACCGCCTTTACGATTACCTCGAAACTTCCAATTCGATGAAATTTTAATACCTCTCCCCCCTCCAATTGAAAGGAGTAGTTTTATTTTATTTTCTCTTTCTCGAATTTAATTCGAAGAAATTCTCAACGCGCGATGCCTGTGCCTCCCTAATTGCTGTCGAATCGAGAATGGAGGGAGCATGGAGGAGGAATCCAATTTCGACGGAACTAACGCGCCGAATTTTAACTTCGCGCTTTCTTCGCGACGAGGGGTGTAACGATCCCCCCGCCTCCTCCCTCCCTTGGTTGTCGAGGTCGCGACAGGGGAAGGGAGGCAAGGGAGGGGGTGTCGACGTGTACACACGACGTGTCGCGTGTTCCGCTTTCGAAACGATTAGCCCTCGATTAACCTCCCCTCGACGGCGGAGGGAACCCGATCTCCCCCTCCCCCATTTCTCCCTCGATAACAGCTCTCTCGGGGGTGCGATCGGTATCGTCCATCGACACAGTTTTACACCGGCCCCGGCTATCGAACGCGAGAAAGGGGGCGAAGGAGGAACGAGGAAGATGAAGCGGGGGTTTAAAGTTTAAACGAAGCCCCTCTTAAGACGAGATCCTATTAACCACCTTGCGTAAATCCTATCTCGCGATGGAGTTTCTTCTTACGCCGCCGTCCAACCCCTCGTTGTGAAAACAACCTCTCCTTTCCTTCTACGCAGCCTTCCCCCGGGGATGCCGTTTGATAATGGACGCTGACCGTTTTGCCGATTGAAACGAATCGGGTCGACATTAACATTTCATTTGAATACGGATGAATATAGGGAGGGAGGGAGAGAGAGAGAGAGAGAGAGAGAGAGAGAGAGAGAGAGAGAGAGAGAGAGAGAATCGATGTTTCTTTTATTGTTTAATGAAATTTTGGTTAATAATGGTGGAGGAAAGAGAAAGAAGAAGTTAATGAAATATGGAGAAAGAGAGTATCGATGTTTTTTTTTTTTTTCTATTTTTCAAGCGCTTGAGAGAAGAGTCTATTAATGGAAGGGTTAATGATAGGATGAAAAGGGTGTTTATCTGTGTTTGGCAAACAACTCTGACGAGTTGAGAGATGGAAAAAAATAGTTTGAATCTCTGTGATATTCTTGTATACAATTATGATATTCTTTTGGGATGTAATTTTTGATAGACGTTCGAAGCAAGAACTTAAAGGAATCTTTTATTTGGAAATGAATCCTATGAGAAGCTTTTTTCGTTAAGAAAAATCGAGAATAGATTTTGAATAAAAATTTTATCGACGTTTTGTAGACGCGATTGGATTCGACTATCGGTTTTATCGTTGTAACCACTAAAGCGAAATGAGAAAGAAATTTCAAAATGGAGACCTATAAACCGTTTACGTTCTTTAATTAAAGTGTTTTCCCTCGATGTTATTTTATCATAAATTTCCTCGTAAAAAAAAAGAAAGAAAGAAACGAAAGGAGAGAAACGGAAGAGTGTTCCAACAGCACGCGATAACGAGCTTCGCAAGAAAAAAAAGAGAGAAAAAATACGAAATGGATCGTAAAATGTGACGTAGTTTTACCAAGAAACAGAGCAAAGTATTCTTTGATTTTTTTTTTTTTTTTTATCCAGGGTCGTTGCACGATAGATCGATCTCTCTCCGTGGCTCGTGCATGTCGTTTAAATATTTTTCATCTTCCCTCCTCTTTTTTTTATAATATCCCCGTCCCACCATAAATAACTATGAATTAGATATGCACGTGGTATACGAGCTCACCGGCCACAATATGTTTACGTTATCGTAATTGTTAAGCGACAAAGGCATCAAGCGTTCAACCATTTTCCTCGTGGCCATAAAATGTAACGATATAAAACACGCTCGATACGTCACAATACGCGTGCACAAATACACACGGCGCGATATAAATTTTATCGCGAAATATCGAGCCGAGTGGAAGAGGAAAACACGAAAACATCCATCGTTGACGTCGTTTCGAAGTTGGATTGGAAAATTTTGGAGAGAAAAGGAACCGATACTTTCCCGATGCTCGGAGCAAAAGTTTCGCGGAGAGGGAGCGCATCGAGTAAAAATAGAAAAAGAGCCGGAGATCGATCGTTCGATGGTAAATAAATGATAGATCGAATCACGAGGCCTTCGTCTAAGTTTACTTTTACCCTTTCGCTGCCATTTTAAATTATGCAGCCAATCTGTCGTGTTTTTTAGTCCTGAAACGAAGCGTTCACCCTTTCTTTCTTTCTTTCTTTCTTTCTTTCTTTCTTTCTCGATCCTTTCTTTTGTTTTCTCCCTCGTAAACGATAAAATCAACGATGCAACGACGGGGGCGACGCGTATAGAAATCGATGACGTCAAGCGCGAAGGACAACGTAAAACCGCACCATCGGATCCTGACGATTTAAATTCCCCTGACCTAAATCCCGCCATTCTCTCTGACCGAATTTCGCGTATGTGGGTCATCCTGCCCCGTTTGACTATTATAACACCGATACCAACGCGATCGTTCCTGATTCGATAGAGAAAGAGAGAGAGAGAGAGAGAGATTTATGGCATTCTTTACTCAACTTATCTTAAACATCACTCAACTTAAATTAAACAGACACTCGACTCGAGTTATTCGAGGAGCGAAGTTGTTGTATCGGGAGAAAAGTAGGTGAATAAAAATGTTAAAAAAAAAAAAAAATAGCCATTGTTCGAGAAGAAAAGTGTCCATTTGCGCACGGATAGAAAAAATTGGCCTTGACGGTTTCCACGCTTTTCTTAGATTATGGCCAATAACGAGATGCTTCGAGGGAAAAGTTTCTATGGGGGTTTTTTATCGGGCAAAAATCGATGCATAAATATCATCCCTCAAAAGGGATAATTCATGTTGGTTGTGTGTCGTTCCTGATAAAAATAATCCTCTCTCTTTGTCTCCTCGCTTTCCATTCTTCCTTCATCGATTATT